CCTAGTCTCAGGTGAAAGGAGCGGCGCCTCTCGCTTTAAATTACGTAAATGAACTGCGGGTGGTGGAAGGAGGGAGATAAAAAGAGAGCCTCTTCTCCGGCTCAGCCAATCAGCGCGCTGGGCTGGCGGAGCCGGCCGCCTAAGTGGCCCAATGGCGGGCTGCGCGGACTCAGAGCCCGCCCCCGCCTTCCGCAGCCGTCTCGGGGGCGGGGACTCTCTAGGCCACGCCCGGGGGCGGAGCCAGCCGGCGGCCGCGCTGCAGCCACGGAGGGAGGGAGGGAGCGAGGGGCGGGGCGGGCTCGGGTGTCAGCGGCTGGGTCGCAGGTGGCGGCGGGCGCGGGGCTCGGCCCGAGCTCGGGAGGTGAGTGCTGTCCCCGGGACTCGCCCGAAACCCCCCGGCCCGCGCAGCCCCACTGCGCAGCGCGCCCGGCAGCCTCGGGCGGCAAAGGCGCGGCGGGGATGAGGGATGGCGAATGGGGGGGGGGCGGTGCGGTGGGCGCCCCGGCCGCCTCCCCGGTGATCATCGGGGGTCCGCGGAGCGAGACAGGGAGCCCTCCCCATTTCCCCCGTCTCCTGGCCTAGAACCGGAGCGTGAAGGGGGCGGCTGTGACGGGAGACCCCTCCCCAAATCCCTTTATGCTAAGCCTGGATCTGGGTCTAGTTTCGGGGCTGCAAAGACGGGGCGCCGCTCCCTCTCCAGCCTGGGACCCAGGACAGCCGCAGTGGAGACCACTCCCAATTTCCCTCTTCCCCCTCTGGCCAGGGACTGAGATGAGGAACCCCCTTCCCTTTTCCTCCACTGTGAACCCCCATCTAGGCCTAGGGGAGGAGCTGGGGGTCCCCTGGCCCCTCCTCTAGACTGTCCTATCCCAGCCCCCTACCACAAGGATGGGGGGTGCGCTTCACTGGCATCCTCTGCAGGGACCCTGAGGTTGGAATTCTGAGGAAGTGGTCAGTGTGGGTCCCTTGCCTGGCAGGGACTGGCCAGACCAGACCTGGAATGGCCTGGAGCATGGACTTGGGGGTGGTCCCTGCCTCAGTGGGGGGTGGGCAGCGAGCATCTGTTCCCAGGGATTAAAATAAATCAAGGTAAATTAGGATCTTATGAGGCTGACTGCCAGTGGGGTGTGGAGGAGGCTTGGAGGGTGGGCGGCCCCCCCATCTGCCTCGGATCCTGAGAGTTGCCTGCCCCAGCCGCATTGGGGACCAGGAGGTGGCTTCGAATGGGCCTGCCTCACTGGTGACCTTGGACAGGTGACACACAGCACCTCCCTGAGCCTTGGTTTTCTCGTTTGAAAGTGGGGTTAGGGGCTGAGAGCCTGTATTCTAACAGATTCTGAAACCCACCCACCCCGTCTTTTGACAGTTTGTGACTCCACCCTTTTGCTTGAGATGTCAGTGGTTTGGGGGTGAGAGAGCAATGGGTTTGGAGCCCCCCCCCCATATGCCTGGCTGGCCTCTGAGCCTGTTTCCTGCACTGCAGAATGTGTTGGTGGTCGGTCACACTCGGGCATTGCTGGAAGGGCTGCTCTGCTGGACAGTAAAACATGCTGCAATTGTCGGGACAGGGGCTCCGCCACCCTGGATTCACCAGCAGGACCGCCCAGGGCACAACCTGACCCACACACCGTCACCCACGCCAGGGGCGAGCCTGTTCCTGGGTAGGGTCCTGGGCAGGAGGAGGTGGGAGGCGCCAGCCAGCCCATCCCCTGTCCCAGGGAGCTCGTCACTGTGGTGAGCACAGGGCTGGGAATCAGATGCCCCTGGGTTCAAATCCGGCTCTCCTGTGCGTGACTTTGCCCCCCGGCCTTGGCATGTTCTTCCATGAAATGGGCTGAATCTCCCTTGGCAGATCAGAGCTGACTGTGGGAGGACGGGAGTGCCGTAAACGCAGACATGATCATTATAATACTAATGACAGTATTTGTGATCGTAAATGGGGTCAAAGCTGTCCGGGGTGGGGGAGAGGAGTCTGCAAGGGTGTTGCCTGCTGTGTCTCCAGAGCCAGGCAGTCAGGTACACAGTCGGTGCTCAATAGGTGTTTGCCAAATGAAGTGATGACAAGGGAGGGGACCAGTGGGGAGGACTGAAGAATTCCTGAGCGTGGGCTCGGATGCCCACTTGACTGCCTTGTTGCAGTGTAACCTGGAGCTGGTGCCTCAGTTTCCGTACTGGGGCGATGGCTGGGATGAGACACTGCTTTGAAGTGCTGTGATGAGAATCAGGCCAGACTGTGCAAATGGTGACAGCCCTGGTGTTGGGCCTGTAGAGGAGGGAACGTGCGACAGAGCTGGTCCCTGAAACAGCGCGGCGCCCGCACGGGCCAGGCGGCCGGTCACTGTAAAGACAGAGAAAACTCCCCAAAGTGGCCCTACTGTGCGCAAACTGGAGTCCAGGGGGGAGCAAAATGTCAGATCGTGTTTCACAGGACCCTGGAGGCCCAGAGAGGTCAGGGGTGGCCCAAGGTCACCCAGCAGAAGGTCAGGGGCTCCGGACACCCAGCCCAGAGTGCCAGCTCTGCCTTCCTGTACGGTTCCTGTGCTGTTTTATCTGCTCCTGGACCTGCTCAAACGCTCAACCCGGCGCAGAGCCTTGGGCTCCTGGGGGTTGGTGCTGGGGAGGCAGGCTGTCCAGGCTGCGCCCGGGCTCCTGTCGACAGCCGCGCGAGGACTCTGTTCCCTGCGTCCGGAGCCTGAGGATGGGGCATCCAGGTCACCCGACAACCTGCTGTGTGACCTTAGGCAAAGCCCTCTCCGTCTCTGGGCTTTGCCCTGGCGCTGCAGAGGCCAGGAGACCTGGGCCCATCAGATGCAGTGACCACAGTGTGTTGGGTACAATACTTTTAGGGGTCCATGAAGATATTGTAACTTCTTTTAAAATCAGAAGAAAATATGAGCTTTAGGGTCAAAGAAAACATTTTAATGTATGATATTAACATACTCATCTTTATGCCAATACACTTGTAAATATAGTTTAAATTTCTTGTTTTAATGGAGGAAGGGGCCCGAGCAGAAGTGCCTCGGGTCCATGAAGGTCCTACTGGCCCTGGGTTCGAGACTCAGTGCTGCCAGTCGTGGGCTGTGCGACCTCGGGCTTATGGACGCCCCTCTCTGAGTCTCGGTTTCCCTGGGAAGCAGGCATCGCTGCCACCTGGGGATGGCGAGATGTGGGAAGCTCGGCAGGGTTGCGCTCACTTTGTGGGTGCTATGCTTTCACAATTGTTGACACGATTATCATCTGTTCGGTACTAATAGCCCCAGGCCGGGAGCCCCAGGTTCAGGGGCCTCAGTTTGCCCATCCGTGGCCTGCACTGCTCCAGGGAGGTCCCAGGGGTGCCAGTCTAGGGGAGGTGAGGTGGCAGTTGGGCTGTGGGCGGGGCCGGGCGAGCTTCCTGTCCCCCACGCACAGGGGCCTCGCTCGGTGCTGACGGAAGTGGCAGGGCCCGCGTGGCGCTCTCCTGGTGCCCGCCCCGTCTGACGGGGGCCCGCTCGCTGCCCTGTCCGGTGAGTTCCAGCCCCACTGGAGGCCCCCTCTCCCCTCCTCGCCCCTCAGGGACAGAGGGGAGGCCTCGGCCTGGCCCAGGCTCCGGAAGAAACAGCACGTGTCACATCCTGGGCCAGCCCTGGCCCTGGCTCTGCCTCCAGGACGGATCTGGGTGGTGGGGCAGGTCGCGGGGCCATAGAGGGGACGTGGAGACCCAGAGCCACATGTGGTGGTTCCAAACAGGGCTTCTTTGGCGGACAGGCCAGGGACAAAATGATGGTGACCCGGGGACAGTGAGTGGCCTCTCTGTGCCTCAGTTTCCTCGTCTGTAAAGTGGGGGCTGAGCCCCCGGTGGTTGTGGGGGTGGAAAGCGCTGCACCTGTGAAGAGGGGCGCAGCCCACACACGCCCCGGGGCCCCGAGGATGTGGGGGAGGGGCGGTCTGGTGGCAGCTGCTGGGACAGTAGTGAGACTCTTGGTTTCTGGGGAACTTGGGCCCGGGGCCCCAAGGGTCCTGCAGGGCAGCGCTGTCCAGCAGAACTTCCTCCACCTGTGCTGTCCTGTACGATGGCCGCCAGCCCCGCGTGGCCGCTGGGCCCCGGAAGCAAGGCTGGTGCAGCTGAAGAGCTGGGCGTTGATGGTGTTTGATCCTACTTAGTCTAAGTTGCCGTGTGGGGCTGTTGTTTCCCTTACAGGTCAGTGCAGCTCTACAGGATGTAGAGATGCTCAGGGTCCAGGTCATGGCCCAGAACTAAGAAATGAGATGAGAATTTAGGGCTTTTCCCCCGTGGGATGTCAGCCCAGCATACTCCCAGCCAGACTCGGTTTCCTTAGGGGCTGCAGTTTCTCAGGGGCCCCAGCATGACCCAGCGCAGGGTGATGGTTGGGAATGTTTACTGAGTCAAAAAATATTTTGCCTGGTGAACTCCTATTCATACTTTAAAACCCCAACTCCCATATCCCCTACTTCAGTCCAGGCTCCCCCAGTCCTTGTTTCTCCATTTGGCCCAGCACTGACCCTGCAGGACTATGTGGTGTCTGTGTCCAGTGCTGTTCCCCTAAACTGGGGGCTCCTCAGGGACCAGGCCCAGAGCTGAATCATCTCACAGAGCCTGGCATTGTCCTGGCCAGGGTGAGCACATGGTGGGTGCTGGGTGACCCACAGAAGTCAAGGGACTGGGGGCTAGAGGACAATGGACCAAATTCAACTTACTTTCAAGATTAGGTAAACTGAGGCTCAGTGAGGGGCAGCCTTGTCCAAGGTGCTTGCTCCGTCCTTTCCTGATGAGGCCCAGGGAGCTCTCCCATCCTGCGGTCATGGTCTGCCTGGGCTCCCACCTGCCACTGCGCTGCCTGCCGGATCATGAATTATGGATGAGGCCTGGGGCTCCAGTGACGCACTAGCCTCCAGAATGTGCCACGGATGTGGTTTGGCCCCGCCCCCTCTGTATGGAGGCCTGGGGTCCCCAGCAAGACCTTTCGAGGCATTCCCTTTTGTTTTGCAGATGGGGGAACTGGGGCACAGAGCTGGACGGTGACTCAGACCCCAGGTGCACACTGGCTTCTGGGGAGCAGGGTGGGACTCACGGGTCACCGGTGCCTGCCGGGTCACCTGGGGAGGGGTGAGCTCTCCATCCCAGGAGTGTGCATGGGGGGGGAACTGTTGTGGAGGGGTTCAGGAGACCCTGAGGGAACCCGGCCCCCGGGCCGACCACAATCCCAGTGTCCATCTCTCACCTCTGTTTCCCCACAGGAGCTGCCCAGTGTGGAGCTGAGTGCTCAGGTCTAGACTCAGCTGGGCGAGGGTGCAAGTCACTTCCTGGCTGTGTGACCTTGGCAAATGGCTTCCCCTCTGGGGGGTGGGGCTCATCTATGAAATGGCCCAGAGCTTTTATGCCCAGACAAGGGCTCCTCCAGTTACCCCCCAAATGAACTCCTATTCATGCTTAAAAACCCCAACTCCCATGCCCCTTCTTCTAGTCTGGGCTCCCCCAGCCCCTCTCCCTCCATCTAGTCCAGCTTTGACCCCATGGTACTGGGGGCATCTGTATCCAGCTCTGTTCCCCTAGACTGGGGGCACCTTGGAGGCCAGGCCTGAGGGTGAATCATCTCAGGGGCCCTGGCATGCTTCTACAATTGGGGCTTTTGGTTCTTCCTCCATCCTCTCTCTCCCTCCTCCACAGGGAGGACAGTTGGAATTTCCCCTCCTCAGGCCCTGAGCTGGCCGTGACTCTGCAGCTCAAACTTGCCTCTCTCTCCGGACAGGCAGCTGGCACTAGATAGAAACCTACAGGGGTCTCCACAGAGGCCATCGGGATGTCGTATTTTGGGGAGCATTTTTGGGTAAGTAAGACCCACTCTTATTTTGATGGGGGTTCCTGGCAGGGCTGTGGAAGCTTTTATGGAGATGGGGGGACCTGGTGGCTTGGGGGCAGTCTGGGGCAGGTGGAGGGTCTCCAGGGGGTAGAAGTTAAAGGGGGAAGAGTCAGTTTGGGTTTGAATCTACACCCCCAGACCTCATGGGCCTTGTGACCTTAGGCAAGTCACACCTTGAACAACAGGGAGACTGAGGCCCAGTCAGAATGTCTTACCTGAAGTTGCCCAGTGAGAAAGTGCAGAGTCAGCGCGACCTGGGGCCAGGCTCAACTTCCAGGATCCGGGGTCATTCCAGCCAGGGAATTTCCATGTCCTCCCCATCCCGGAGAGTTGGGGGCTTTTCTTGACTTGATCTCTAGGGCCCCCCTTACCCTTCTGCCCTCCAGGTGGGGGACCACAGACTGTGACCCAAGGGGACGGAGGGAGATGGACTTGTTTTCATTCATTCATCCACTCCCTCCCTCCCTGCCACCACCGCCCCACCCCAGCCAAGAGATGCCGAGAGGGTCCATCCCGGCCCTGACCCCAAGGAGCCCCCAGTCTGGGGGGCACAGAGCAAGCCAGACACCCTCAGGCCTTCAGGGTCAGGGCTGAGCCCAGCCCTGGGGGCACCCAAAGGGGGAGCCCGGATGCAGAGCCATGTTTGCCGTGGGCTTTGAAGGCTGAGATGTCAGAAAGGCATTCCAGGCAGGGGAACAGCCTGGGCCAAACCCCAGAGGTGTGACCCTGGGTGGCCAGTTGAGGGAACAGGGACTCCTCCTTCAGGGCCAGGCTGATGTGGCCACAGAGGACATGTGAACAGGAGGGGCAGGGAAGGACCAGGGCAGAAAGCCCCTTCCCCAGTTGCAGCCACTGAGCTTGCAGAGAGGAAGCTCGTTGCTGGGCAACTGGTTGCCCCTGGCAACAGGCCTGCTCCCTGTCCTTCTCCCTCCCCAGCTGGGGCTCCTCTTCCTGGCGCCAGCTTTCTTAAAGGGGCCGCACCCTTTCCCACCTTCCAGGGGTTGGGGGAGACCTGATTTCCACCTCCTCCCCAAAGGTCAGAGTCCCAGGATTTGCCCCTGAATCGCTGTGTGACCCCAGCAGGGGCTGCCCCGCTCTGAGCCCCAGGTGGCGCCTCTGTGCAAGACGGTTGACCATTTGAGGATCATTCATTGCCCACATTTTGGAACCGTGACAGCAGCACCTATATTTATTTTAAATTTCTTTTACTGGCATGAGACACCTACATTTATTTTAAATTCTTTTTAATTGCATGAGGCATGCAAGCTCGATGCAGAAAATTTAGATCAGCAAAGAGAAAATAGAAGCCACCCCCGCCCCCACCCAAAGAAGGCCTGGTGCACAGTGGATCGGAGCTTCGAGTTTTGGGGTTTGAATTGGGCTCTGCTGGGAGCTCTTGGGCAGGTGACTGTGCATCTCGAAGCCTCAGTTTCCCCATCTGGGAAGGGGGGTGAAATTCCTGCCTCCCTGGGACTCAGGGAGTGCCCCAGGAACATCTGTTTCTTTTAATCAATGTTTCTTGTAATCTATTGTTTGTATTGGTGGCTTTTTGCTGGGTGACACTGGGGCCCTGGCTGGTCTGAAGGAGGCTCCAGTCAGGGGAGATCAAGCCAGACAGGGCTGTCTCAGTCCCATTGGGTCAAGGCAGGGCTGGAGGCATAGAGAGGGCACTGGGGAGCCATGGGGGAAGTGTGAGCAGGAGAGAGACATGATCAGGCTGTGTTAGAATGATCCCTCGGGGCTGGCATTGGGGCAAGACGGAGTCCAGAGGTTCTGATAGGAGACACCGGCCTGAGACAGCCCCTCCCAGGACCCTTGCCTGCCAGCCCAGCCCGAGGGAGGCAGACACTGCTGGGGGCTTTGCCAGGTCTGGGAAACGGGCCAGCGTTTGGCTCCGAGTCAGCCCCAGATGCTGGCCTGGGCGGTGGTGCCTGGTGCGGCCTCCCCCGAGGATCCCCTGGGCAGGGTGGGCGGGGGCTGCCGGAGCTGTCTGCTGCACAGGGGGCCCTGTGTCCAGCACTGTCGCAGCCTCGTCTCACCAAGACCCTTGGGAATTGGGTGCTGTCATTGTCCCCATTTGTCAGATGAGGTAACCGAGGCCCAAAGGTGAAGTCACTGGTGACCCAATGCATAAACGGAGGATTTGATGCTGGAACCTTGAGAGTACAACTCTAGACGTGAGGAGAGAGAATATATGTTCCTGGGCAGCTGGAGGGATCGACAGGGAACCTTCAGGGAAGTGGGAGTCTGAGGAGGGTCTAAGAAGGTTCCTGAAGGAGGTGGGCCTGGCGGTGATCCTTGAGAGCTGGAAGGGTTTGGATAGGTGGACAGAGATGCGGCTGGGGGCGGGCGGTCGGGGCGGGGGG